GGAGGGGACCAGGTAGCCGTCCATGTATAAAATATGCACCACCTGGCTCGCTGCAGAAGCAGGCCGCAGAGCCCAGGAGTGGGAGATAAAAGACTCGGTGATCGGTTATCTGAAGTAAAAACTATAAAATATATATGCACAGTAAAATAATTATAAAACCAACACCTGGGAAGCCTAGCACGTGGACTAAGAGATGAAGCCCTCTCTCAGCAGCTGTGTCCCAGGAGCCTTTCCCGGTTAGGGCTCTGTAGTACTATTTTCCTTGCTGTTCTTTGCAGCACTACCTGAACCATGCAATGGAACTGAATTTTGCTTGTTTGAAAGCAGCCATTCACAGAGCCACACTGAGCGAGCAGTCACTTGTGTGTTTCTCTTGATCCGATTTGTGAGGCTGCTGTGTGGGACTCCAGACCTGTCACCCCACCCCCTCTGTGGTATATCATTCATTACATCATTAATGCAAGGCTCATTGGTGCATTTTCCTATCAGTGGGCAGTTGAGTCTTTTCTAGTTGAAACAGTTGTGACTAATGCCTTGGTGGACATCTTGCACCTGAGGTATCCTTGACTTCAGACTGTTGGCAGAGACTTGGCAGTGTTGGGGCATGGGGTCTACCTACCACCAACCCTTCCACTTAGAGTCCCACGGTTCCCTTGGGGGTTGGAACAAATCACATCCAAAGTAGCTGTGCCTGCTCGCTAACCTCGAGGAATCCAGCAGGGTGCACAGAGGTTGTCTAGCATCCTTTCAAATAACTTAATTCTTTGTACAACACAGTACAGCAAGGGACTAGGTGGCCTTCTAAGAGTAGAACAGCAGGGCAGGAACCACTGTGCCCAGAGGGTACCAGGGATGCTGACCCTGATCCTTGGAAGCTGATGGTGCTGGGTCTCCCCGAAGGTTTGGGAATACTGCGCTGAAAACGCACGCCTCCCTCCCACCCGAAGCACGCTGAAAGCCCAGCACCTGGGCTGGCACACTCTAGAGACATTGCTGACGTGTGATGTAGCGCTACACTGAAAAAGCACAAATAAACTCTGAGCCCTCGCACACATTTATCCAGTTTGTGAAGTGGATTAATAGAATAACCAATAAAACATGTATAAAAGCTTTAATTAAATGTGATGAAATAAAACTTCATGTTTTATTTATGGACACTCCCAACATGTAAAGGATTCGGGGAGACATTTGTTTTTACTGCCATTCCGTCCTCATATCTATAATTAAATCCAGGCTTCAGTTCTGGCCCAAAGCGATGTGGCATTTTAAAGCTGGCCTCGGACACCCCCTCCTCCCCATCTGTTTTTAATTCTAATTACCATCCCCAGGACAGAGGAGGCTGGTGACGGAACACAACAGAACAATAAAACAAACAAACAAACAACACTGGTTGCCGTTGTGTTTTTACGTGAGGGCGCTGAAGGAGTGTTTCAGGCAGGAGCGGCATCCTCTAAGTTCCAGTTTTATTCTGTGCCAAGTACACAATCCCTTCATTTTACTTTTGACATTAAAAAAAAAGTACTTCATGAAACAAGACAAAATAACTTATGATTATATGAAACATAACTGTGACAAATCGCAAAACTATACATATTAATAGAAAAAAGTGTACCTAATTCCTTGAAAGATTTATGACAACCAGCACCAGATGTGCGTCTACAGTCAAACCGGCCCCATACCCAGTATGATATACGCAGCGCGTTTCTCTACGTGAGTATATAGAACAATGTACAAGGGCCTGTGTGATCTATGGAAAACAGATTTCCACTTTTCCCCCAAAGTGCTTTATGTCAGCAATATTACAGAGGACTCTGCTTTGTCTGTACAAAATAAATCTCTTCATTTTTACACTCACCATTTTATCCAATGAGTTTGGGCTTTCCCTTTCCCTGTTACTTTCTTCGGCAGCAATAAGAGTAATGGTCTAAACAGTCAAATCAAATCAAACACCAAATAATAAAACTGAACAATACAGAGGCTATTGTCAATACTTCCAGGCAATCAGGAAGTGAGGAAGGGGTATGAATTTTGTGACAGGCTAACTTGTATTAGTGAGCTAGTACATTTGACAGTTTGTCACTTTAGGACTGAACATAACCAAACCTGTTATCTAGAGATTTTAAGCTGTGGTCTACCACACAACTTATTTTCCACTTTAGAACCACCTGGGCCATATGGTGTAGACTGACATAAGGGACTATACCTCACAGGACACAGTGTTTAAGTGCTGGTCAGAGGGTAAATGATAAGTGACACTTTGATACGGACCCTGTAGTGAGTAAGGATAATGGATGAAGCAATGAAATGTCTCTAGGCATACTGATATTTTTTTATGTAACAGGCTAATTGGATCTGTGCTATATGTTTTCACAAGCACTAGGTGTTATTGTTTTGTTTGTGTTTTTGTATTTAAAGGTGAATGACAATTTCCAGTTGGATGTTTATGAAAATGGCTACTCACCAGGATTAAAAGGGCTCAGGAAGGGAAGAGAATAATTGATGATTTTTTTTTTTTTAAGTTCTAGTTTCACTGCTTAAAAACAATGATAAAACTGTTAGGCCAAAGTAAGTGAAGGACACATTTTAACCTAAGGAGAAATTATGGAACCTAAGGATAGACAGCTTGTACAATCTGAAGGACCCTGAATGAGCCATGTCACTAGGCTCTGGCCCCAGACCAGTGGCTACCAGGGATATACTAGAGGACCTGGCTCCATCCATGCTTCTGACAGCAAGAATGTCTCCCTTGGGCTGGCTGTGGGACTGGAACTGGATGTATGGCCATGATGACACCATGTCCTCCTAGGTGATCCAGGAAAGAAGTTGTGCCATGTGGAAGGCCACCATGAGTCCAGAGCCTGGCTCCTGAGCCTCAGGTCTCCACCACAGGCAGAGATGTCATACATGGTCTGTGTTTCTGTTCCTTTCCACGACTTCTCCTCCTACTTAAGTAACTCCAGAAAGTAAAGTGGACAAGATCAACTGCCTTTTACCTGTTCTTTCCTTATCACCCAAATGAGATCGGCCTGGAAGTCCTTGCAAAAGCTTTGGGGTTTAAGAACTGATGATGCTTTCCATGCGAGTAGAATCTCCTTTTCTTCTTAGAGTGTGACAGAGGTCAGAGGACTGCTGTCAAGTAAGTCAGTGTTAACATATGTGTGTTCCTTCGTAGCCCAAGTGTACTGACCTACCAGGTCTACAAGGGTGAGTTTCCAGCAGCCCAAGGGCTCATCTGTGGAGGAAGCCTGATGTAGTGTACTTCCTTCCTCAAAGATCAGAAGATCTAAGAGAATTCAGAGTCTTGTGACTTGAATATCTACTCAGTAGTTTCCACCAAGAACATGGTCTCTTCAGCAGCACCAGAGCAAACGATGTGCTGTGAAACTAGAGCCCACACTTCTGATTGGGGGCTAGATTCAAAGGTCTGTCTATTGGGGTACAAACAGTCTCAGGATCCCAAAACACTGTACTATTTAAGGTCCCAGTGACCTCAGTTCCAGAAAGAACTTAGCTTCAGTTCTGTTAAAGAAGCATTTTTAAAGGGGTTGGGGGAATCCTGAAATGTGAACAAACTAGAATGTTGAAATTGACCATCTTTTTGGAGTCTGGCCTTTGCCCTAGGACATAGAATCTTCTTAGTACCTTTCTAAAATGTGTCCCTGGAAAATGATCTCTTGTTTAGGCTTAACATAAAATGGCTATGTGCTTTTGAAAAATGCCAGGCCTTCAAGGCAGAGTTCCAAAAAGTTGCTTTCTTGAGTCTGCCTTCTGTGAACCTTCCTAGAAATGGACAGGATTTAGTGGATAGTGGGCATGTCTGAAATACAGCTAGAAACAAGGAGGAAAGGCTGTGAAAACAGAAGGGGAGCAGTATCGAGGAGACAGACAGACAAATGGAGCCCTGTAAGGGTCTGGGCAGAGCCACACAAAAGAATCGGACAACAGGAGCCCTTGCTTTGGTTTCTGAACAAACCTACACATGACTCCATGTGTCCCAGCTCTCATGTTTCCTGGTCTGTCCAGGGCAGAGCATCAGAGATAATGCAATGCAGGAACCATTCAAATGGAACGGCTTTCAAGTTGGAGTCACTGAGCCATTAATACGTGAGGGTTTTGTTTGTTTGTTTGCTTTTGTTTTAAGATGGTCTCAATATGTAGCCCTGGCTGATCTGGAACTCACTGTGTAAACCAGGCTAGTTTCAACTCAAAATGCCTTCCAAGTGCTGGGGTTAGAGATATATACCACCATACACAGCACTCAAAGGTTCTTGCAGCAAGCCTGGAGGGAGGGCAGGCAGAGGTGTGTGTGTGTGTGTGTGTGTGTGTGTGTGTGTGTGTGTGTGTGTGTGTGTGTGTGTGGTGTTAACTATTCTGTTTCCCTCATATAACCTTTGCTAAATTGCAAAATTAGGCCAGGGAGAGCTACAGCTGTGGTAAAATATATGTAGCTGGGGTAATTAAAGTGGTAATGACTTCTACCAAAAGAACAAACCTTTAAATATTTTTCCTTTAAAAGTAGATGTAAAAAGCAAGTCTTTAGAGTTCAAAAACAAAGTAGGCTGCCCAATATAAAACCTTATTTTGCCATTGGAGGAGCAACCGGGTAGCAAGTAGTTAGCATGGGCTATGTAAAACAAATGTTAAAGCTAGAGTTTGAGAGAGTCCAAGCCACACCTTCCTTGAACATGGATTTCCCTCAGTTTCATGGCTGTGCATTGCTCAGCCATGAGGGAAAACAGGCCATGGGCTAGGCCGCACGCTCTGCCTCTGGTACCTGGGCAGTCTTCCCCTCGTTAAGTCTTTGGAGTCTTTAGCAAGGGTCATCATCCAGTCATGAGCACATTCATTGGTCTTTTGGGAGCTGACAGCCAGGAAGTAACAGGTGTCCTTAAAGTGAGACTCTAAATTCCCTTTGAAAAGAAATTCCTGCTTGTCCCCTGGCCCAGCAAATTGAGGGGGAAATGGAGGAGGTACAAGCGTTCCTGAAAAGTCTGATCCAATCATCCGATCCTGCCTTCCCAAGACCCAGTGACCCTACTGGCTCCATGGATTTGGTTGGCATCCTTCACAAGGCTTGTGAGAGTATGAAAATAAGAGGTGACTAGGGACTCAAAGGTCCTGGATATGCAGGAGAGGCCTGGGGAGCCTTCAGCCTTCGGTATACACAGAGGAGAGCTGGCTAGGACAGCGGTCCACAGCGTTGAGCTGCAAGAACGTGGGGTCTTCTGGGCCACTGCGAAGAGATTCCCCAAAGAGGCTTGAAGAAGCTGAAGGCAAGTCATACACTGGAAGAGAAAGAACACAGGCAGTCAGCCAGTCCCTTCGTTATGCAGCTCTGGTGGCTACACTGTACACCCATGCTGCCTACAGATGCTAGCGAGAGCTAAGCCTTCTAAGTGTGTCCTTGATCAGCAGAAGGGAGAAGATTGTCTTGCATCAATGTACCTTAACATAAAATGTGACTTCAGCTGGAGGGATGAGAGTGACCTCACGGCAGAGAGGGAGGGACACACGGGATTAGGCACATGAGTGTGAGTCAGATAAGGGTAAAATGAAGCGAGAGTCTGCGCAGGCAGGTCTGGAGAACTTGACTAGGTAAAATCATTTGAGTCTCAATGCTGCGCCAGAGAAGAGAGTGTGAGACGGGATATGACTAGGATGTTCTAGCAAGAACGTGACATACTTATCTTGGGTTAGCAAGCAGTGTCAAATGGGTAGGACGGCAAAGGTGAGAAGGTGAATTGTGGAGGTTGTGTGGCAAGGAACTGGCACAGCCTGGGGCAGAAATGCTGACCCCTGTGCAGGCAGGCAAAGGGGTGAGAGCCAGGGCAGGAGGTGAAGAGGTAGTTCTAGTGGATTCCATATGGTCCCTGCCAGCCACAGGGAATACACCCGGCTTCTCTTTTTGTTGGCTAGATCACAGACACCCACCTGTAATGCCTGAGTGTGTTGAGAAGGCTCTATGGAAAACATCAAATCCAGCCTGACCCATGGACGTGGGCACCAGGCAGTCCTCAAAGGAAGGCACCATACTGCAGGAGCTGCTGGGTGGCACAGTTCTCTGGGAATCGGGATAATGTGGGGGACAGAAGGTCTGCAGCTGGCCATAAAATCCTGAAATACAAGCATGGCGATGAGCTATTTCAGGGCAGAAACCATCCTGACCCAGGAAGAACCTCACAGAGTCAGAGTAATTTGACAAAATGTCTTTGTGTCTTTGACACCTGAGAAGTCTTCTAAACAAGTGTTGGGATGAGCTGCATTCAAGGCTTGTGACCATTTCAGGGAGCAATACTGTCATCCTAGTCCTGTCCACTGAGATTTATATGCACTTAACTTTCTTTATCCTGAATTTAAATCCATTTCCCTATTGGACTAAAACCCCACAGATGGCCCTAATCATGTCCACTATAAATGCAAACAAACCAACAATCCCTAGCACAGACCAATCTCTCTATCCTTCCAACACTTCAGTCTTCCTTGTGGTTTTAAGCAGGTTCCTAGTATCTCACACCTGGATGGACTGGAGATGAGAGGTCACTATTACTGTTTCTGATTCTTTCAGGAAAAGCGGAAACTAGAAGGGGGACAATACTAGGATAAAAGAAGAAAGGAAAGATATCCCAATGCTTGAAAATCATCACCAACATACTGACATTTCATCCCTCCCCCATTTCTGCTCTTACTCAATGGTACTTCTCTCGCATTCCCATGTGGTCCTTTTCTATGATCCTCCACACCCTCCGCGATTCCTTCCTTCTTTTTTCCCCTTCCTCTCTTTGCTGCACAATAATATGTATCAACGGATTACTTTCTGAGCGTGTAATATGCTTTGAAAAACATAATAATGCAATCTTCATTCCACACTCTATTGATGGGGGAGCTGAGTCTCAGCTGCTGTCTGAGGCTGCTTTCCATTGTGTGTTTCCTCAGCTGTAAAATGTGAATGCCATTGTCTGCTACACAGGGCTATTGTGTAGGCTGACTGAGTCACTGGATAAGGAAGCGGGCTTATAATGTTTTAAAGGGCTTTAGAAATGTCAGTCATTATTGATATTACTATTCTGGTTTTAATGGGGAAAGTAAGGGGATAACTGGAGGGAGCGCCCTCTGCAAACACGGACTGACGGAGGAGACAGAACCAGTTCACACAATTTTGGAACCCTGGTCTTGAATGCCTTCCACCATTACAGCCATCTCCTCTTAAGACTGGAAAGCTCTGTGGAGACTCTCTCAAGGGGGAAGGGTGGTGCTATTTGTTGCTCCATAACACTCTTTAAATTTAGGGAACTGGGTACCTGTGCCCCACTACAAACACACTCTTCTTGCTCATTTGGAAAGTTAAGCTACCTAGCAAATGCCTGGCTCATCTTGACCGAGAGCTATTCTCCAGTTTGCTGTAAACATCACTAAAAATGTGTTTACCTGCTAGTAGAGATTCAGACCCCACCCTCCAGGAGCTTATGATGCAAGGGCACATTCACACTAGAGCACGATCTCTTTTAAGTGGGTGACAATACATGATACATAGAATCCACAGGGGATGGAGAGATGGCTCAGCAGTTAAAGGCTAGGCTCACAACCAAAAATATAGAATCCACAGAAAATATTCACATAAGGTTCGGGGAAAGAGAGGCAAAGCATCATCTGAGCATCATCACAGTTTAGATTAGGAATACGTCTATGGAAATTGCATGTCTAAGCAGGACATGTAACAACTTCTGATTTGACTCCCAATGGCTTCGCATGCTTCTAAATGAAACAGGCAAATATCCATAATAGATCACTCTCAAACACTCAAATAACTGACCAGTGTGAAGGAAGTCAACCCCAACTAACCAAGAAATAGACATTAAAATAACAATAACATTTCGTAGTCTATGTATTACACTGGCAAAGATTGCTCCTTAGGGCTGAAGTGTGACTAGAGAAGAAGGTACCTGCTTAGCTTTATAGACAATGGCAAAAGTAGATTCCACTGTCCAGATTCTTGGACAAGGTTTGACTACCTCTAACTAACAGTATACCCATGGGTTTATTCCCTTGGACTTGAGTTTTACATCTGAGGATCAGTAATCCTAAGACTGTTCTTTCTGAAGATCATGTTCTGCCAAGACAGCCACTGTAACAAAATTGATGACAAGACCAGAGGCCAAATGGCCAAGCATCAGAGAATGGTAGAGTGCAGAAATGCGCACTTCCTGGTGGGAGGGCTGAGCAGCCCTCAAAACAGTGACAACAGGCACCCTGACACCACCACTCAGTTTGTCTCTTTTTTTTAAAAAGGCAAGAAACAAAATTATTATTTTGTGAAAGATCAGATGGTGAAAGTCTAAACACAGGATGAACACAGCAAAACAGTTTTCCTATGGTTGTCTTTTTCTGCTTCTGATCATATTTTAATGGTAGTGAGTATCCTGGAGTCTACCTTCCTGGGTTCAAATCCTCACTAAAATACATAGCAACTGCATAGTCTTGGTGTCTCCATGTCTTAACTTATAAAATGGGTTTAAGGTAGTGATGATCTTACACTGAATTACTATTAAAAAAACATACAATAAAAGTAACTAAAAAAATATACAAGGTAACATGTACATAGCATATAATTATGTTCTCTATATTTTAATAATATAATTTATATATGCATTTGCAAAAATAGGCAACATTATAAGCAAAGTCACTTCACCGTGAAAACATAGCTCTCAAAAATAAGGTAAATTTGATTACGGAAAATCAAATTTTCAAAAAGGCAAGATGTCCTCCAATAAACAAATGTAACTATAAGCAGTCAACCCCAGAAGGAATGAAGACTGAATGATTGTAATCTTAGGAGCATACCCCACACTGAAGAAAGGGGGACACTATGGCCTCATTGAGAAATGAGCAATGGTTCCCTGACATTGTGTGAGCTAGTAGTATGTATCATGACTTCTTCATCTACCTCAGCAGGGCTCAGAAAACAAGCCTCAGTGGGTTGAAAGAAGCAGAAATTGGAGCTGTCATTTTGGGTCATCTCTGTGAAAGATCTTGACTTTGGGTCCCCATGGTCACACAGATGTAAAGGTAGCATGGGTACATCAGGAAGAAACAATGACCACGCTCTATTGGAATGTAATATCTCCTTACTGCGCAAAACAGACATTTACTCTCTACAGCTCCATGCTGGCTCTGTTCAAATTTGTCACCCATAAATCCCCTCATATCACCCCTTAGTGTAACATTACCCTTCCAAGAAGAGGATACATTTTTCACTCAACTCCCACGGCTCTCCAAACAGGAACATCAATCATTCAGGTGCCACAACAGAGACACTCACTGGCCTTTTGTGAAAACTAATTCATTCCTTTTCCTATCTTCCTTCCTGTTTCTGAGAAGGAGCTGAAATGTCACATCTGTATTCTGGTGTTGTGATGTGCAGAAGTTGAAAAGGTTTGTGATACAGGGAAATATACCCAGTGATAATCCACACTGGATTCTGGGCTTTAGCTCCCAGCTGGGACCTAAGGAAGGAGACAGTAAAGGAGACTATGAATCCTGCCTGGGAACTGTGATCGATTTGAGAATCTATCAAAGCCAGAACGTCCCTACAACCATGTTTAATTACCCTAAAAGCTAACCTGGGAAAGGAGATCCTCTTCATTAATGGCACCCTACCCTCTTCAGGTAGCCTGAACAACCTAATACATTGCTGGGTGGTGGTGGTGGCGGTGGCGGGCAAATCGAAGATTTTAATATGTTCTCTTCCTAGTGCTAGCCATAAAACTAACAAGATTTAAAAAAAATTCCATTAGGATCTTGTCACACATATAAACCTAGAGAAAGCCCAACTCATTTTCTGATGAATGGCTCCTGTATTCCAGTGGATGGTTTTCAAACAGTAAATTTGGAAAGAGCATGACTTCTCAGACCCAAAGCAAAATGAGGCAAAATGTTAGCACATTTTGTGAGCATAAAACCTAAGAGTGATGGCAAGGTCAGCCAATCTGTCAGTCACATAGTTAGTTAGCAATGTTTCTCAACTGCTGCTTCAAGAACAGCTGGAGAGACCAAAGGAGATAGAAGACAGTACCTGTCCTTGAGGATGGGGACACAGAAACCAACACAAGCTGACGAAAAGTGTTAAAATGTTAGCTATCACAGTTACTTACAAATGCCACCCCTCTTTTTTTTTTTTTTAAACAAGTAATTTAATTTCCAAGAATGGGAGAGCACAGACGTAAAATTCACCTCATTTATCTAAGTGAAGCATCTAAAAGATCAAGGCATCCCATTACTTCTAGTCTCAATTTTGGCAAGTTCATTTTTCTTTCTAAAAACAATCTAGCTTTCCTCATTATAAAAAGATTTGGGGCTAATTATAACAACAATGTAGGCTTGTATAAACAATGAATGAAAGAAATTATCTTTATTTACATAGATGAGAAATGGCCAGATAAATGCCTTCACAACTTTGAATCACATGCATGCACACGCACACATGCATACGCATGGGTGTGTATACACATGCGCCCACACAAACATACAAACACATACACATACACACACACACATGCATGCAAGCACGCACACATGCACATGCACAAACACATGCGTGCATGGATGCACATACACATAAGAGTGGGCAGGAGGTATGGGGCATATAATACATGTGAAAATGTCACAGTGAAATTGGTTACTTTGCAAGATGGCTAAAATTAATATATAAATTAATACATACAATTATTTTGTATCCTATTTTATTCCCTAAAACCACCTGTGAATTTCTTCATGTAGGACTACAACCCATTCCCTAAAGCTTTTTTCCATACTTTATCACATAGGCTCCCTGAGGTCCTTTGATGACACATGAGATCAAGAGTTGCATCCCTCTTCTGCTGCTAGGTGCTTATTTCTTTCCCACATGGAAGAGGAAGTTACAGGAGGGAGTGTGTGTGTGTGAGGGGGGTGGGATTTCCAGGGCAGTGATGGCACTGTCCAACATAGTAGTTACACATGGTTATCAAACATTCAAAATGGACCTGATAGACTTCTATTCAGTTTTAATTAATTCGCATTTAAATAACCACACATGGTTCACAGTACCACGCTAGGCAGTGTAATTCCAGATTCCCAGG